GGGGTTTCACCATGTTGACCAGGATGGTCTCGATCTCTTGACCTTGTGATCCACCCGCCTCGGCCTCCCAAAGTGCTGGGATTACAGGCTTGAGCCACCGCGCCCGGCTTAATGGAGGGTCTTTTAAGAAGGGAAGGCATTTTAAGAAATAAGAGAAAATCAAAAGTAATTTCAGCTGCTGTTGCCTTTGCTGCTGTATTGACAGTGATGATTGTCCGGTGTCAGCAATATTTGGTAACATGAATAGCTTATGCTTGTCAGCCATGCATTCTGAAGCTTAAAACTTTATCTCCCCCTTTTTATAATTCAAAGAAGTATAACATCCAAACTCTAGGTATTTACTCTTCAGACATTGCTCTGGGATTCAGCCTTCTTAATTTCCTAATTAGTATGCATAGTGACATTGTATAGCCATATAGACATGGTGATCTTTACTGATATCTTTTAAGGAAATGTTATTTTTGTTACTTCGGAAATGTATATTTGGTTACTTTTGGTGTTTTGGTATTTAAATCCTCAGATTTAATTTGATTATGTGCTCCTTTGGACCCCCCCAGTCTTGAAAGATTGGTTTCATTTTTCATGTATTCTGTATCCTCCACCACTTTTCTCATTCTTTCTCTCTCACTGGCTTTACCCATCAAAAATCATTGCCCAGCTCTATGAGGAGCCCCACAGTCCAGGCCTGCAGTGCATGTACATGTGTTCAGGCGTCTCACATCTCAGAAGCCTCACCACAGCACTTGTCTCTCTTGTAGCTCATGACATTGAGAGGTTCAGTCCTGGAGGATGCCATTCCTTCGACAGCCAAGCACTCGACGGCCAGAGGGCTGCCTCTTAAAGAAGTGCTGGAGCACGTGGTTCCTGAGCTCAATGTCCAGTGCCTGCGATTGGCCTTCAACACGCCCAAGGTCACAGAGCAGCTCATGAAACTGGATGAACAAGGGGTGAGTTTGTCTTTCTGAGGAGAGCATTCTTGCTCACATTTCCCCCTAGGCTTCCAGAATAGAGACCTTAATATTTCTTGTTTTGATGGAGAAATTGGATATCTTTTATTGTGAAAGACACTCTCTTTGCAATTACTTATTTTGCTTTTTCTTACTCTGAACGCTGAACAATTTCTCTTTTGATGAATTCTGTATGTCAGAATTTATAAACAGGACACTTTAAACTATGTTAAATTCTTTTATGACCTGTATATACAGTAAATTTTTCAAGTGTCTGAGAATAAATAATAGGAGCAATAATAATGTTATTTATAACAATACAGTAATAATAAATTATTAATAGTAGTGAGCATGTTTGCAAGTTCCTTCTCTAAGTGCCTTAACTATGTTATCTCATTTAATCTCCCTACCCTGTGAGAAAGGTACTATTATTATTTGCATTTTAGAGATAAGGGCTCTGAGGCTTAGAGAGATTAAGTAATAAATTCAATTTCCCACAGTTAATAAGTTTTGGAACCAGGGTGCAAACATAGCCTGCCTCAATGTCTGTGCCACTTCACCACACTGTTCTTAAAAGCTTAAGAGTTTCAAAGTCTATTAGTACCACCAAAGGTATATTCTAGCCACGATTTTTAAATATAAAAATGTAAAATTTCACATTCTGCTTAGAATAATTTGAGCATATGGGCTAATTTTATAGATAATGTATTTATATACTCTTACTTTATTTAATTCTTTCTTTTAGCATTTTAGCTATATTGCATCCTAATAGTGGGAGGTAGTAGTTTTAACATTACATTTAAAAATTCCTCCAAAAATAAAATTGGTTCAGGTATTTTATTTCTGTCTTTCATTTTTTCTCATTATGTTAATTTTTCACTGAAGGGTCCAGGTAGTAAATGTCATTTTGTGAACAAATTTGGATAGGATGTCCTTAATTAATCAAAAATTCCAATTTTATTAAAACAAATGGGAGTCCAAAAAATCAGTTTTAAGGTATATTTATTATTTTAATTCAGCCGCTGAGAATATATAATGAAGCAATAGTTAGATATCTCATTTCTTTTCTCTTTTTTCTCTCCTCTCTTCTCCCCTTCTTTCTTTTTTTTTTTTTGGAAGACGGAGTTTCAGTGTGTTGCCCAGGCTGGAGTGCAGTGATGCGATCTCAGCTCACTGCAACCTCTGCCTCCCAGGTTCAAGCTGTTCTACTGCTCAGCCTCCCAACTAGCTGAGATTACAGGCATGCGCCACTGTGCCTGGCCAGATGTCTCTTTTCTAATCTTTGCCTTTTCTGCCCATTTTACTTTTCATAATGCACAGCTAATGTCTGTTGGACACATACATCTAAAGAATGCTGTGAGTAGTATCCTTGTTTGCAATGTGAAAATTTGAGGCACTTTGAATGCTTCAAAAGACTACTGATGTATAAACCTACCTATTCTGGAGGCTGTTTTCCAGTAAATATTCTGAACATTTATTCTGACAAAGGTGTAGAAAAACTATGATTAGGTCCAACTTTATTGATTCAGTCATTTCTATTACTGTGTTTATTAAGGAGAATAAAAACATTTAGACAAAACAAAGTCATGTACTTAACATTTGAAATTTCTATTAAAACATTATTTTATGTAAAGGAGGTCTTTATCGCCATTCTTTTGTTTTAACTATAGTAAATACAAAATGGATACCCTAGTTGTAGACGTTATGGGGATTTCTGACACATTTTGTGTCCTCTGTTTGTGATTGCCAAGTGCCAGATCACAGATGGTGCTGGTCTGTTAAGAGTAGTCCTATCCACATATGAATGATAAGAACACTATAAAGAGTTGAACTCAAAGTTAAATTTAACTCACAAAACTGACCATTGTTTTGAAATTATGCCCTTGCTATTCTTGGAAGTTTTAAAATGTCCCTTCCTTCATAAATTATTAATCATAATATATGATAGCTGTTTTCTTTAATATGTTTACTAGGCAAAATTAGAATTTGGCAATGAGTCTCTTAAATTTTACTTTGAAAGTAAGTGCCTTAAATATGTCATCCCATTCAACAGGAGTATTACTATTAGACAGTAGTTTTTACTAGGCAGTGGAATCTGGAGGTTCAAAGCATGCTATTCCATGTGAATAGCTCTGTGTCTGGAACTAAAGAGCACTGGGGGTTGGCCTCTGTCTTTTTTATCTCCGTACATACAGCATTCAAAGCCAGGATTACACTGAGATAAGGCAGACGACATGCATACTTAGGCTTTTAGTCTTGGGAGTGATTTTTTTTGGTAGGAAATCTCATTAGTGCCTTGGAAATATTTTGAGAAACTGATTATTTTGGTGCCTTTACAAATACAGATTTTAAAAAGGAAATGCTTATAAGTGCAGTGGATTACGCATATGAATCATTGCAAAGCATTTTTAGTTTCCATCTGTGTCGTCATATTTTAAAATATCCAGCTTTGTATATCCTTATATTTAAAGAGATTCATAGTGTGATACCAGGAAACTGGACTCATCAAAAAGAGCTTTAAATCTCTTTCTACATTTGGTTTAAATGATGCCTTTAATATCTTTTCTATTTTTTATTAACTGTCTTACATAATCATGCTTTGAAAAAGAAGACACAATTTGTTTCCTAAGTTGTGGCATTTTGCCTTTCAACACTTCGGTGCTTTAATTCCTCGTTTTACCACTATTAAAAGCTAAAGTGAACAGAACACAAATTAAAATTTTATCTGTAAAATAGAAAGCACTGCACAAAAATCTAGTAATTTGTTTTTTATTTTATTTTATTTATTTTTTTTTTTGAGACGGAGTTTCGCTCTTGTTACCCAGGCTGGATTGCAATGGCGCGATCTCGGCTCACCGCAACCTCCGCCTCCTGGGTTCAGGCAATTCTCCTGCCTCAGCCTCCTGAGTAGCTGGGATTACAGGCACGCACCACCATGCCCAGCTAATTTTTTGTAGTTTTAGTAGAGACGGGGTTTCACCATGTTGACCAGGATGCTCTCGATCTCTTGACCTTGTGATCCACGCGCCTCAGCCTCCCAAAGTGCTGGGATTACAGGCTTGAGCCACCGTGCCCGGCCATAATTTGTTTTTTATTTAACTTGATATATTTGTGGGAGCTGAAGTAGGCATTTCAATTCCTGAAGAAATTTACTTTAGAAAATGAACTGATTCTTTGGGGCTTATCCAAGCTTTTTACATTTTCCATCCTGATGCCTTTCTGGGACTTTCACTACTTATTTTATTTTATTTTTTTTTTGAGACGGACTTTTACCCTATCATCCGGGTTGGAGTGCAGTGATGCCATCTCGGCTCACTGTAACCTCCGCCTCCTAGGCTCAAGCAATTCTCCCACCTCAGCTGGGATTACCCAGGGCTGCCACCATGCCCTGCTCATTTTTGCATTTTTATTAGAAATGGGGTTTCACCATGTTGGCTAGGCTAGTCTGGAACTCCTGACCTCAAGTGATCCACCCGTTCAGCCTTCCAAAGTGCTGGGAGTACAGGTATGAGCCACCGTGCCTGGCCTTTCATTACTTATTGATGTCCATGTTCATTGTTCTATAAAATGACAGTGAGAAGACAAAACTAACCTGCTAATATTTTCACACTGGTAAGAATTTAGAAGAACACTTGATGCTTTAGAAAATTTGTATTCTTATTGTCATGCATCTTGATCTTCACTTGCAGTACAGTTGGGGGCATCTCTCATGATAGAAACGAATGAGATAAATATATGCTTCATTTTACTATATTCTAATCACGTTACTGGCATAGTCTGATTTAATCCTCACAGCAACCCTTTACAATAGATTGCAGCGATTGGCCTATTAAACAGTCAAGGGGATTAAGTTGTACAGAAGTTCCCAGAGCTGTTTTTCTTACCTGTCATCCCTTAATAGTCCTGAGCACTAGATAGAAATTTGCATAATACTGCTCTTCAGTTTTAAGATTTCCAAGATCCTATTTACATATCTTAAATTACTTTGTTTTTAATTGTTTTAGAAAAATCTATTATCTTTATTTTTTTATTTGTAATTAGAAATTCAGTGTAGAATATTGGAATATTTAGATCCTCAAAACTATGCTGTAAGTTGGGCACTATGATTCACACCTGTAATCCCAGCACTTTGGGAAGCTAGGGCAGGAAGATTGCTTGAGCCCAGGAGTTCGAGACCACCCTGGGCAGCATAGTGAGACCCCCATCTCTTAAATAAATAAATAAATAAATAATTGTAAAAACATTGCTGTGAATTATTAGGAATTTTGTCATTCAATCAAGTCAACTTTTAAATGATGTAGAAAATTCAGATACTTTTAAATTTGTCAATAGAACCATTTTTCATCAACAATCATTTAAAAATACCTGTATTTCATCTACTTTATGCAAGGAGAATGAAAGATGATTATGTCAAGCCCTGGTTTAAGGCGTTCCCACATGTAAAGCTTATTACAATGCTGGGCATGTGATAAAACATTCAAGAAATAGGAACTGTTGATAATAAGATAGTAACTTGTTAGTAGTTCTTTAAATGCATTATCTCATTTAATCTTTATAAATATCCTATGAGAGAGCTTCTGTTGTAGGTGACATACTATGCTTACTTTCACAAGTAAGCGTGACTATTTCAAATCCGATAAATGCTTTGTAAGAATGACTCTGTGGGTTGTTAAATACTGTAGAGAACAAAATAGGATAGTAAGACATAGTCTTTATCCATGAAGGAGACAGGGTCATAAATTACTGTAATGGATGTCAGTTAATATAATGAATCTAATAAGAGAATTGCAAATGAAGAGCAATGGAGGTACAAGGCAGTGGTGACAAGTCATAATTGGTTAGCTGGATCAGAATGAGATGGGCCTTGGAAGGGAAGAAGGTTTCATCAGGCTAGGGAATAAGCAATTGGGTGGTCCATACTCAGAACAATAGGAACAAGGTTTGGAAGGACAGACGCACACAGTGAGTTCACGAGGCAGCAAGGAATCCTGCTGAGCAGG